GACTCACTCTACAACTTTTTGTCCTTTTTATGATTTGTTGCTAGTTATTTATACAGTAAAACCTCCCAAGAGTGAGAGGGTGTGGTAATTTTGTTCTTTCAAGAGTGGGCATTTTTAGCCAATCAAACCTTAATTACCGCTCGATAGAGAACTCTATTTTTAGTTTCAGTCTAAAAAATGCCAGCTCTTGAGAGAACCCGCTCTTCAGAGGTACCGCTCTTGGGAGGTTTTACTGTATTTCAAACCATTTTTAATATTCGAAATTTAAAAACTTTTTTACATAAAATACGCTTAAAAATGTGAATAAAATATGTTAATTTCGGTTAAAGAAAAATTACACAACAAGAATAATATTTTTAAAGTAATTCAAATCCATCTCGAAATAACAATGAAATATCTTTTATTGTATTTGTTGATAGTTGTAATAATCTTCATTATTTTACCATCATATAGTTTATTGTTTATCTCTGTTCGTCCATTTTCAACACCTTATTGGTATGAAGATGTATTAGCATACAAATCAAATGCAAAATTTCAAAATAATTTTGTTGATTTTTCTCGATTGAATTATAGTGGCGAATGTGGAGAAGTATTTAAATATCGTCCTAACAATGATCGTGACTATATCATAGGTTCTTATGATTTTAATAACGAAGTTCCTTGTATTCCCAAACAAATGTGGGACACTTTAATAATGGCACGCACGTCTATGCCACACTCACACTTCGTTTTTATCATTTATAACTTTCCAAAGTTGAATTGTCACGACTTGGAGCGCCTTAAAAAGCTTCACATAGAAGTTGTGCATGCGTTTCATAATCAAACAGAAGACGCAAGTTGCACGCGATTTTATGATATTGAAAATTATATCAACAGCAATTACAACAAGATTGACCGACTTGTTTTGGTTGACATAACCGACACACTCTTTTATGGAGACTTTTTTGCTACATTCAATGACGAAGAAATTGCTTTTTTGAGTGAGTGTTTTGGTACTCAAATCACTGAAAACTGTTGGGGTCCGTATTTAAAATCGGACCACTACCACCAGCTTTTTAAATACTTTGGGAAACAAATTGCCAATGATATTTCTCGGACGGGGTTTATCGAGATAAACGCAGGATTTGTGTTTGGAGGGATCGAAAAGATAAAAAGATTTGTTGAAGTCTACAACACATATTTGGACAGAAAAAAGATGCAATGGGGATATGATCAAAGTCTATTGAATGTACTTATGTATAACGGAACGTTTTCTAACATTGGGACAAAAACAATATCATGTGAACAACGATTGTGTTATATTGGACGTGAGGCATTTACTCTTGAAAATAAAACAATTTATTTCAATGGAACTCGATGCTCACCAGTCGCTAGTTATAAATTTACAGCTAAAAATACAGTCGAATGGGTTGTCGGGTGAAAGTTTTTTGATGTTGTGTAGATTTAATTGATTTAAAACATTGTTATAAATATATGTGATAAACTTTAATAACAAAAAATGTCAATTATAATACAGTAAAATATCCCAAGAGTGAGAGGGTGTGGTAATTTTGTTCTCTCAAAAATACAATTTTAGCTAATCAAACCTTAATTACCGCTCTATAAAGTTCTCTAATTTTAGTTTCAGTCCGAAAATGCCAGCTCTTGAGAAGTAGACTTCCGGCCCGCACCCCAATTATAGAAACAAAAACACGATTTTCAATAATCTCTTTACCATAAATCAATTTTGTTAAAAAATCCAATTTTTTGGGAAAATAGTGAAGTTAATCAATTTGTGTTTTTATTTCTAAAGTGTCAACACAATGGTATTTTTGTCTAGAGTTTATAATTTTGATCTTTAAATATAAAAGCAATCTAAAAAATACACAAATTTCAAAACAGGATTATTTAAAATTTCAAAAACAAACTTGATTGAATATAAACAATTTTTTTTCAACAAGGAAAAACTATATAAAAATGACTATAAAAAAGAGTCAAATGGCAAAATAAATATTTTGGTTAAATTGTTGTTAAAAATTATTATTATCAAACAAATGCAATACAATTTAATGACAAGTCATAGGTCAATTAATTGAGTTTTCTAGTGTATTTAAAACAGTCATAATTGTCGAGACGATACAACATGTTTTTATTGTTTTAACACATTTAAACAAAATGTTGACTTTGATAAACAGAAACATGGTTTAAACTATGTCATTGACAAAGTTATTTAATGTGCTGGATATTTTATTATTCAAATAATTTTAATTGTTGATTAAAAATGACTGTTTTATTTGATAAACAAAATACAACAAAACAAATCTAATTTGTTTTGTAAATAAGTTGTATTATTAAAAATAATAATGACTGTGATAAAGTCTAGATAAACCTTTCATAATAAACAAAATATTTGTTATAATATACTGTTATACTGCAAATGTTATAAAATTATTTTTTTCATACAATACCATTTATCTTTTAACATCATCAAATCTTAAACTATCTGGTATTTTTTATACAACAAGAATTGAAATTAATTAAAAATTCATTTTAATATTTATTCTTTTGGTTCTTTTTGTTTTGTTTAATGTATGTTGTTTATATAAATTAAAACTATTTTAATGTTGACCAGATAACATTTGAACTGACACTTTGATGTTTTTAATACACACAATCTTTGAATAAGTTGAAATTTAATAATATTATAAAGTTTACAAAGTATATAATAAAAACAAATTAATTTGTTATGAGTAAAAAAGATATTGAGGAGGTCTTTAAACGTAATCCAGTATGCATAATAGCTTTAAATAT